CACCCATGTCACATGCAAAACAGCGATGATGAAATGGGAAGTAACAGCAGGGCGCAAGGTTGTGCTTTCACTAGACCAGCACTAATGATAAAAAGAAACACGAAGGAAAGGCTGGAGCAAAATGTACACGATACTAATGGATACAACAAGACAGGGAATAGTAACTTCCTGAACTCTCTATATGTGGTTTCATTCAGTTTTTGATGAAAAGGACACTTCTTTAAGGGAGGTGTGTGAGCAGGGTGACGGGGACAGCTGCCTTGCAGTGCTGGGGCCCCACAGACACTGTTTCCTCCCCCGCGGGGTGAGCCCCGCTGAGGCTGGGAGAGGCTGAAGGCCGCGGGTGCCCCAGAGAAAAGCAGCGCCACCGCCCGTCTCCTTCCTGAACCCAGAGTGTGTCCTCGTGGGAACTTTCACTGTAGTTTCATCATTGCCCTCGAGCTGTGACCATCAAGCAGTCGGTGGCATGTAGTGAGGAATGAGGCCTGTTCTGCTTTCTCTTTGACTCCACGTGCACCCAGCCGGGCGGAGAGCACTGGGACTCGGCGGGGGCCAAGGTCAGGAGTGGCAGTGACTGGGCAGAGTCCCGGGTTGCCAGGAGGGTAGGCAGGACTCCATTCTGTATCCTTCCCCCTGCGCTCCCACAGGTGACCCGTGGGAACCAGCAGTGACTCCGGAGAGAGGGGGAGCCCTCTCTTGCTGGCTGTGCTCCTGAACACGGCACTCCCGGATTGGGTGCCCTGCAGGGCCTGGGACACGAGGCGGCGGCCTCTGCCGGCAGGAAGACAAGAAGGCTGGCTGTGCCGCCCCACCGAAAGCTCCTTCGGAGGCGGGGACCCCTCTCCCGGGACAGGGCTGGCTTCCATCGCGTCCGCTTGGAGCTGTAGGCAGAGGGGCCGCTTGCAGTGGGGAACCCACAGCTGCCCAGCCACAGTGGCCCCGGCAGTGTTTTCTGCCTTACAACCGCCATCTGTCTGGTCTGGGCCCATAGAGCATCAGTTGGGGCACACAGTTCCTTTAGGATGAGCAAGGGCTCCCCTGTGGGTGTGTCCTCTGCCATCCACCCAGACCTCCAGCTTCCTGTTTGGTGCGGGGCCTGCATCCAGCCCAAAGCCCCAGACCTGGGATTCAGTCCTGGCTGGCTCAGCAGACAAACATACACTTGGGCCACTGTCCGCCTCCGTAATGGAAAAGAAATGGAAAAAAGATGTTTAACTTTTCCCCCTTCTAGTTTATACATGCAAACCTTTATTTACACCAGAGCTAGTGACGGCCATCTTTGGGACGTGTGTCAGGCAAACTGCACAGCTCACTTTTCTGCTGGCTTGTTCTCAGAGCTCCAGCTCTCTCGATCGGCCACGTTGCTTCCCAGAAGGGTTTCGGGAAGACTGTTATGCAAGTGACACTTCCTGTTTACCTGCTTTTCATATTTAATGGCTTAGGGTGATGGGTTGTGACCACAAATTCGTAGTAGTTGTAATAGCATGCCAAACAATTGTGACAGTCCAATTTGGATGTAATAGCGTGAACCAGGAATCACATGAGCTAGAGATTCTAATTACACTGACAGCTAAAGGTGATTGCTTTGGAAGAGAAGGTCAGCCCTGGCTGATGTTTTTCAGTGGGTAGAGTGCTGTGGCTTCAATTCCCAGTCAGGGCACATATCCAGGTTGCAGGTTCGATCCCCAGTCGGGATACATGCGTGACGCAATCAATCCGTGTTTCTCACATCGATGTTTCTCTCTAGAATCAATGAAAAACATCCTCGGGTGAGGATTTTTTTTTTTTAAGTGAAAAATATCAACAATCTGAAGTTATGGATTCAAGGCTCATGCTCATGTGAAACAGAAGTGTCATTTAGTCCCTTCTCACCCCCTCAGGTGGTCCCATCCACTCCTACCGTTTCTGTCACCCACTTTGCGTTGACAACTCTTGAACTCCAAAGCCCTGCATTCAGCTGCCCGCTAGACACCTCCAGATGCGTGCCTTGAGGTCTCCCAAATTCAGCCTGTCCGAAATGTGCACCCTGCACTGTACGCAGCACTCCTGTTCCTGGAAATGGTCTCACTGTCCTCCAGTTGGCCAAACCTGGGTCATCCTTGGCCTTCCCTCCCTTTAACCTCTGACTCGCCCCGTCCAGCCTGTCCTCACAACTGTCCGTCCGAACCTTAGGCATACTGAAGGTGCCTCCTGCTCACTCAGTGGCAGGTTTCCAGTTTCCCTTCTCCCCTTCCTCCATTCTTTTTTTTAAAAAAATACATTTTATTGATTTTTCACAGAGAGGAAGGGAGAGGGATAGAGAGTTAGAAACATCATCCAGCATTGCCTCCCACACACCTCCCAACGGGGATGTGCCCGCAACCAATGTACATGCCCTTAAACGGGATCGAACCTGGGATCTTTCAGTCTGCAGACCGACGCTCGTCCACTGAGCCAAACCAGTTTCGGCATTCCCTTCCTCCATTCTCGATCATTTCAACCACTCAAGGTTAAAGTCACTTTTGAAGTTCTTTTCCTGACCACCTGCTGTATAGATCTGTCCTGTGGACAACCAGTACTTCTTCCATGGCATACATCACACTGATTGTTCCATTCGCCACGGAAGCTTTATTTAAATCCTGTCCTCCCTGCATTTAACACTACATCTGATGCATAGTAAGTGCTCAATAAGTATTTGTAGAATAGTTGACATTGACAGAACTTTGTGCCAAATGCCTTGCCAAGTAGGTTGCCTGCATTATCTCATTTCATTATAGATTTCAGAAAGGAAGGGAGAGGGGGAGAGAGAAACATCAATGATGAGAAAGGATCATTGATGGGCTCCCTGCTGAATGTGCGCCCCTCTGGGGACCGAGCCTGTAACCCTGGCATGCACCCTGTGAATCAAACCATGCCCTCCTGGTTCATTGGTTGATGCTCAACCACTGAGCCTCAGCGGCCAGGCCGTCATCTCATTTCACTAGAGGAGGATCAGGGATTCTTGGAGGGAGTGATTGGCAGAGTGGGGGGACAACAGGAAGTGGTCTTCAACTAGGATGAGCGTGGTGGAGGGAAGTAGGCGGATTGGGCCACACATAGGCAGCTGGAGTCCAGAGCACTTGCTGATAGCTGGGAGGAGGGTGGGACGGGGGGGGGGGAAGGGAAGATGGCCGAGCGGAAGGAAGCCAAGGGGAACTGCTGGTTTGGGGCCTGAATAACTGCGGGCTGCTGCCGCTCACGGAGACCCGATGAAGGGCAGGGCCCGAGTTTGTCCCGTGTGTGTGTGTGTGTGTGTGTGTGTGTGTGTGTGAAAAGTTCTCTTTGGGGTGGGTTAGCTTTGATATGCTCTTCATAGGCAGGAGACATGAACATATAAATCTGGAATAAGACAGACAAGGCTGGAGGCCCTCATTTAGAACTCACCAGACTCCCTGATGTGGGGCTGCTGCCAGTGGCCACAGCGTCATTTCCCACCTCCCAGGCGGAGGCTGGAGCCAGCGCTGAGCCGGCTCACAGACCTCCGCTGCCACTGCCATGATGCTGTCTCCACCGTGTTTCCTACTCAGTTTTTCCAGGCCAGCTGTAGGAATGGTTGTGGCGGGTAAAGTCAGAACTTGCAGGTTTTAAATGCAGTTAGGGATGCTTACAGTCACATACAGAAATACAGAGCATGGGAAGGTGAGGCCTGGCACAGGGAGGGCCCTGGGCACTGCTGCTGGGCTCATTTGGCAGCTCTTGGACACCTGACTATCCTATTGCAAGACTGTTAACATCTAGTTTTTGCTCCTCTACTTATAGAAAAGCAGTATTACAGTTTAAAATTAATGCTCTTATTTAAAAAATGAATTCTAGAATGAATTACATTTACAAGAAACTGTTCCTAATTCATATGATAAACAGCTTAAATTTCTGTTTTGGGTTGGGTGCTGCACTAAGAGCTAAGGCAGCTAAAATCAAGGGCATCAGCCCTGCCCTGAAGGAGCCGTCACTAGTCACAGCGGCCCAGGCCCTGTGAGCGCGGCAGTGCCCTCCACACCAGGATGGGCTGGGCGTGCACCAAGGCCGGAGGCACAGCCTGCATCGGGCTGTGGAAGTAAATTCTACAATCACTGAATCACAGTTTTTAAAATATTTTGTCTTTTAATTACAGTTTACATTCCATATTCTGTTGGTTTCAGGTGTGTATCAGAGTGGGTAGTCAGTCATGTACTTTACAAAGTGTTCCCCCACATAATTCAAGTAGTACTATGCATGGTTATTACAATATTACAGACTATATTCCCTACATTGTACTGTGCATCCCCGTAAGTATTTTGTAACTACCAAGTTGTACTTCTAAAACCCTTCAACTTTTTACCCAGCCCTCCTGCCCTCTTCCCCTCTGGCAACCATTAGTCTATTCCCTGTATCTATGCCAACTCTTTCCTTTTCATTTCACATTCTGATATTTAAAGGTTGTGTTTGAGTACTCGTTTATGTTTTGTAAATAATGGCTATTGCCGTTCTTACGTTTGGCTCTGGCAGGAAAGGAACAGCTGTAACTGAAGGCTAAGACGTGTGTTTTCTTCTAAGAAAGTGTGTGTGCACTTCCATTTAAATTTTAAATCCTCACACAGGGATGTTTGTTTTTCTAATTGATTTTTACAGAGAGAGTGGAGGGAGGCAGAGGAGGGAGGAAGGGAGGGAGAAAGAGAGAGAAAAACATGAATCTGTTGCCTCCCTGACTGGAAGCGTAGCCTGGAGCCTTTTGATGCATATGGGGCAATGCTCCAACCAACCGAACCGCCTGGCCAGGCCTGTGCCCACTTTCGAAACCACACACACCTTCTATAAAGAGAGGCTGGTTTGAAATAACCTTATTTTTGTTTTATTTTAGGGATAATGACTGTCCTCCTCGCCTAAACTGAATAAGCACCGTGTGCACTTTAAGCTCCTATCCGAGCCATTGGGCTGACTGAAGACAGGGTTTTGAAATCTCAGCTATACAGGCATCCAGCCAAAGTCTCAATCTTGCCTTAACAATGTTCCAGAGACTGAACAAAATGTTTGTGGGTGAAGGCAATACTTCCAACCAAGAACCAGAATTCAGTGAGAAAGAAGATGATGAATGGATTCTTGTCGACTTCATAGGTAAGGTATCTTCTGCCGCGGATCATCACAGCAGAAGTGGAAACACTTGCATCTTAGTTTTTGCATAAGTAAATAAATTACTTTGAAGGTTTTTAAGACTTAAAAGAAACAGAAATTTGTGTTAAAAAATTGTTGAAACGGCCCAGCCAGAGTGGCTGAATGGTTGAGTGTTGACCTATGAACCAGGAGGTCACAGTTCAATTCCTGACCAGGGCACATGGCTAGGTTTTTCTCTCATTAATATTTTTATTTCTTTCTTCCTCTCTAAAATCAATAAAAACATATTTAAAAAAAAAAGAGAGAATAATGTGCCTTGGCCAGCATTGCTCCTTTGATTAGAGTATCATCCCACTATGAGGTTCGGCTCCTCATCAGGGTACATCAAGAATCAACCAACTCATGCATACATAAGTGGAACAACAGATTGATATTTCTCTCCCTGTCTCTCTAAAATCAACAAAAATAAATTAAAAATAAATAAAATGGAGGAATGTGAGCTAATAGGATCTCTCCTTTTTCTGTTCTTGACGTGGTATCATTGTGACACGCCTCCTCCTTCAACGGCACGTGGTCTCCGGTCTAGACACTTGCACTGGGCTGTCGGCAGCAGAAGACGAGGAAGAAGACATCAATGAAGAGTCACCTCCCGACCACCCTTCAGTCTTCTCCTGTTTACCTGCATCTCTCGAATGCTTGGCTGACCCAAGCGACTCCTGCTTCCTCCAGTTTGAGTCCTGCCCCCTGGAGGAGAGCTGGTTCATCACCCCTCCACCGTGCTTCACAGCCGGAGGGCTGACCGCCATCAAGGTGGAGACCAGCCCCATGGAGAACCTGCTCATCGAGCACCCCAGCATGTCTGTGTACGCCGTGCACAACTCCTGCCCCGCGCTCAGCGAGGCCGGCTGCGGGGCTGACGAGCTTCACCACCCGGGCAGCCCCAGGTACAGCATTCTGGTCAGCGTGTGTTTTATTTATTTTTACTGCAGTTCAAAGCTAAGTTTTCACAAGGCACAAGACTAGTTTTGTTAGAGATTTATGGAAGTATGTGCAAAGTGCACAAGGCAGCTGATGGTATAAAAAATGTGTTCAATTTAGATTTTTTAAAAAGTTATATATCCTCAATCTGTTTTTTCATTGTCTTCAGTGCACATGTTAACATTTCTGACCTACACAAATATATATTTGTTATTTTGCAGAAAGCACACACCTGACATGCTGAGTAATTTTCAGTAGTAAACAAGGCAGTGGTCCTCAACCTTCCTAATGCCCCAACCCTTTAACACAGCTCCTCATGTTGTGGGGACCCCCAACCATAAAATTGTTTTCGTTGCTACTTCATCACTGTAATTTTGCTACTGTTGTTATGATAGAGTAGCACGTAGCGATTCATGAACAGTAGAAAAATTACAGTGATGAAGTAGCAACGAAAATAGTTTTATGGCTGGGGGTCCCCACAACATGAGGAGCTGTAATAGAGGGTGGGGGCATTAGGAAGGTTGAGAACCACGGAGTCTTAAAGGAAGAGGATGATTTTGTAGGATCACATTTCAAGTATAAGATACAATGGGGGAGGGGGAGAAAAGCATTGTAGTATGCTTGTTATGTAATGGAGAGCCATTCTATTTACAATATTTGGCTAACTCATGGGAAAAAGACTGGCATTACTGCCAGAATCTAACCCTGGCACTGTACAGACCGGATTATTTGAGGGTGACAAGTTTGACAGGAATAATAAGTCTTAAGACACTTTTCGTCTAAGTAGTCTTGGCGAGGTCACTTCAAATGGCTCTTAACCTTGAAAGCATGAGCAATCTTAAGCATGAAGTAAAATGGTTGTTTTACTAAAATATTTTGCATAAGAGTTGTTTTCTGCCTCAGAGAGGGAAGACTTCATACCCAGCGTTTGTTGATAAGATGGGTGGGGAGCCAAGTGGTCTGGCAGGCTGTTTCAGTGCCAGGTGGGTTGAGGGCATAGAAAGGTTCAAGGAGAGTGGCTGGCCAGTGACGTTTGATATGTCCCAAAGCAAACTTGTAGACATTGTGTGGCCTTTTTCCAGGGAATATACTCAAGATTCATGGCAGAGTTAATCAGCTCCGGCTGGTCCATGATGCGCAGTAGAGGAAGGCTCCCCGTGGACGGGGACTGCTTAGTCCCCTTAGCACCTGGCAAGGGCAGGGTGAGCCTGAATCTTCGGGGCGGCCAGAGTGTTCCTGTAGTCAGTGTTATCATCCACAGGGCTTCTTTTCGGACCCTCCAAGCTCTGACTGCAGACTAGACCATTGTGTATCTCTTCCATTTCCTGTTTGCCAAATATAAACAAAGCCCCAGCAGCTCACTGATTTGTTAACTTTATCAGAGTTTGCTGTACTCTTAAGTCTTGATATTGTAGATTATCTTGAAGGAAGATAAACATATGCTTGTACAAAATTAAAAAACAATTTGCTTTTATAGTTACCTAGGCTTTCTACTAGATAAGACCTTTGATGGGAAAATGTGACTATAACTGGCACTTTATTCAGTGCCATAAGTTTATTAAGAGGTCAGTGTTTCAGGCATTCCAACAAAAATTCCAAATATAATTTTTTTGGAGGTGATACTGATTTAATTGCATCATACTAATTCAAATTAATTTCTTCAGTTCTTAAAAATTCTTCCTGATTCTGATCTCACCTTTTGAGAAATTATATTCAAGAATTTAGCATGATTTTTAAAAATATATTTTATTGATTTTTTTACAGAGAGGAAGAGCGAGGGATAGAGAGAAACATCAATGAGAATCATTGATCAGCTGCCTCTTGCACACCCCCTGCTGGGGATGTGCCCGCAACCAAGGTACATGCCCTTGGCCAGAATTGAACCTGGGACCCTTCAGTCCACAGGCCAATGCTCTATCCACTGAGCCAAACCAGTTTCGGCTAGCATGATTAATAGTCACTTTAAACTTACTGTCATCCTCATATAATAAAGAGGTAATACGCAAATGGTCGTTATGCATGCGTAATGACTGATCACCAGGAGGGCAGGGAAGTGAGCTACAAACTGGGGAGAGCTACAGGGAGGGCGGGCAGCGAGCTTGTGCAGCGGAGAACTAGTGGTGGTGGGTGGGGCAGCCAGCTGAGCAAGTGGCAGCGAGGTACTCGGCACGGATTTGTGCGTAGGGCCACTAGCTGTTTGTGTGTGTGTGTGTGTGTGTGTGTGTGTGTGTGTGTGTGTGTATTTTCCAGTATTTTGTTTTATTTTTTTTAAAGAAATTATTTTTTAAATTTTCGGGATAGTTTTTATTTTTAATTTTTAAAGATTTTATTGGTTTTTTACAGAGAGGAAAGGAGAGTGATAGAGAGTTAGAAACATCGATTAGAGAGAATCATCAATCAGCTGCCGCTTGCACACTCCCCACTGGGGATGTGCCCACAACCCAGGTACATGCCCTTGACCGGAATCGAACCCGGGACCTTTCAGTCCACAGACTGATGCTCATTCCACTGAGCCAAACTGGTTTCGGCTATTCTCCAGTTTTTTAAAGTATGTGTGTATGTATGATGATATATGTTATCTGTAAGTATATATACATATACTCAGCAGCTTTATAAATAATGTTGTCATAGAAGCAGTACATATGTATTGCAAAAAATAGAAAATGCAAATGTGCAAAACTTTGAATGACACTCTTCCTGCCTGAGATGACTGCTGTTGCGAGCTTAGGGCATAGCCTCCCGGACTGTCTTTCCTGCATGTCCTGTGCGCCGTGCGCACACACCATGCACCACTTTTACCCTGACCGGGATCACGCTGCATGTGCCGTTTGATAATCTGCTGCTTCAGGCAATGATCTCCACCTTTTTTTTTTTTTTTTTTTTTTTTTAAATAAAATTTCACTTCATCTGCCACAGAAACCATGTGCTCAGCTTTCCTCACTGGAGCCCAGAGTATTTCATCCAGTTTGCACAAAGCAGCATCCAGCCCAGGCCTTGCACTGCATTTAGTTATATGTTTGTAGTTTTGAAGCAGTGAAACTGTCATTTCTTATGTCTTGTTTTTGTATCTTTTTATACTTTCATATTAACTTTACATATGTAACAGTTCAAAAAACATTTTACTTTATATAAATTCTTTCTGAACACGAAGTACTGTAAGTTGTTATAACTAAAATATTTTTTATATATATATTTTATTGATTTTTTACAGAGAGGGAGGGAGAGGAACATCGATGAGAGAGAAACATTGACCAGCTGCCTCCTGCACACCCCCTTCCGGGGATGTGCCCACAACCAAGGTATATGCCCTTGACCGGAATCCAACCTGGGACCCTTCAGTCCTCAGGCTGACACTCTATCCACTGAGTCAAACCGGTTTGGGCTAAAGTATTTTTTAATATCCTTATTTTTGGAAGTGAAAATTCTTGTAAGGCCTACTAAATCAAGATAGAAATAACGTGTTACCAAAATTAGGAGAATGGCTATATAGTAATTACCTGTGTTTTCTGAGTAGGAAATCATTTTTCAAAAGTAAGGTCATTTTCATTCTATTTATCCTTGAAAATTTTAATGCGAAGCACATAAAAGGTGCTTTATAATTACAGATGAGCTTCAGAGTGTGTGTTATAATCTTTACAATTATTATAATCTTTAATATATGTACCTTTAATGATCCATAGTAAACCAGTTGAAATAAAGAAAAGGTGACTACATCCTAACAGTAAAATTAAATCGCATTTTGAATCTTACTAGTGATTTAATAGCTCACATTTAACATTGTAGGGCCAGGAAAAGCTGCTTATAAGACTCACTGGCACAAAGTAAGTATATTCGCTTGGAGCCTGTGTGATATGTGTTATCAGTCTGAGCAGGGAGGTTAAGGACTCAAGGTGCCACCTTTTAAAAACCAGTCTTCATTTTAACTTCTCTTTACTAGTTTCTTAATGGGACCTGCTTAGATTCTGTTTTTTAAAAAGCAATATTAAAAAATAGTGTTTTCCTCTAGTTATTACAAACAGTATACTAGTAACTGCCTTCTCTGTGTAAAAGAACACTTAAAAATCTTAAAACTCTTCAATGTAGTTTATATATACCCTATTTCATTAGCTTTTAATATAGAAAGCATAATCATGTGGTTTGTAGCCAAGGGTCTTTATAATACTGTTATATAAATTTTATTCCATATGTGCCCTTTATGATATAAATAATAAGTGGGCTGCTTCTTACAAGAAAGGTGTTGAGTAGATTTTCCTTGTGCATATTTCTGTTAAATACAGGTGTAAACCTTGTCTCCTAGAACATTTTACTTACAGACAGAAAGCACTGTGAAGGTGCTTTGCCCCCGGACCTCAGTATTCAATAACCATGGTCCTTTACAGTGAAATCTGTTAGAATCCTGGTTAATCGTCGTGACCTTAACACATCTCAGTGCCTTGGATGTCTGTTCAGTAAAACTTAAAAATGAAAATATTTTCCTCTTAAGATCATGGCAAGAATTAAAATACAGAATATTTGCAAAATAGTTGTCAAATGCAGATATTCAGTAAATGTTAGTTTCCCTCCTAGAAAAGCCTATGCAAATGCATTTGCTTTGCAATTGAAATTTATTCAAAGTGTAAAGCATTTTTTATTTAAAAAAAAAAACACACACACACACAAAACAATCTACCTAATTAACCACCTGTCAGTTATACAGCCTATTTCTATTAAAAGTTGGCTGCTGCTTTCTACCACTGTCAGAATGATCACAAAATATAAACTTGTCTGTCAGCCATGAGACATTAAGTTCTCATTCGACCATAAGTGAGTGTGGCAAATGGAATTACTAGCGTGCTGTTGTGTGACGCATGCCCACTGTTTCTGTTTCAGAGGGGACGCTCAGGATGAAGTGGGGCCGCACATCCACTGCTATGTGGCAGCCGTTGCTGCGCACGCAGCTTTCCTGGACCAGCCCCGGAGCTTCCGCCCGGCCCCGTGGATAAAGGAACACAGTGAGAGACAGGCTCTGAACAGAAACAGCCTGCGTCGCCAAAATCTTACCAGGGATTGCCACTCCCGGCAGGTCAAGCACAGTGGCTGGGCTGTCCATCAGCCCTGCCCACGTCAGTACAATTACTAAGAATTTCAAGTGTGGTTGGTTGGTTGGTTGCTCTTGGTTTGTACATATGTGTGTGGGTGTGTGTGTTTGGATGTGAAGTCTCTTTATAGCACTTGGTGACCAATCACATAGTCGTTTCATTAGTGCGTTTAGACACTATCTTGAAAACCAGATTTACATGCTGTATATCACATAATGCCTTGCTCTTAACATTTACTTTTTGGTAAATATTTTCAGAATATTTTTGGAAACATATCAATACAATTACAGTGTTTTGTGATGTCTTTAAATCTATTGAAATGTACATGAATTAGCATTTTAAAGACATTTCTTCTCAAGTGTGAGAATAGGCATCTTTCAATTTCATTTTATTTTGTATTACTTAATCAATCTTTTGAGTAAACAAAAACTTATTCTCAGGGTCAGCCATACACTTTATTGACCAGTACTTGATAATCTTTTCTGTATATAACGAATACATTTTTACACACTAACATGAGCATTAACAGGTTATAGTTGCCATAGTTATAATGGAATTATGGCTGAATTGTCTTTTTGAAAGAAAACTTGATATATTTCTCTGTGTGTGGTGTTTTGTTTTTCCAGACTAGCCATGCAGTTCATTTTGGAATTCAGGTACATTGAGTGTTAGTGAACAGTGCGTTCAGTAATTCCGGTGACTGTGATGTGGTGCAGACCTTAGCAGGCCTCGTGGGACGAAAGCACTTGTCGCACACGCAGGGGACTGAAGCAGACCTGTGAAGCTGTCATTGGAAACCGTGTGTCCATAGCTAACCTTAGTGCACTTTCAGTTGTTCAGCTTCTCCCTGCCAGCTCTGCCAGTCACACCCACCCCAGCTGTGCGCTCACAAGTCCGTGTCTGGCACTGAGTGACCCGTTAGACCCTCCGGAGGGGAGCGCTAGGCTGTGTGTCTGGTGCAGGGCCAGCGAGGGCGCAGGGTTCCTGGGATAATTTCTCCCGGCGTCCAAGGGGAGAGGGGCAGGGTGGCTTCCTTCCCTTCTCCTCTCACGCCTGGCTGCAGGCAGAATCTTTAACCACTTTGGCTGTTCCCTCCACCAGCAGGGGGCAGTCACAGAAATTCTGAATCTGTGCTGGGTGATGGGAAGAGCCGCTCTCAGAGGGCTGGCGCTGGGAGGCCGAGGGCAGCGCCCATGCCCAGGGCGGCCAGTGAACTCCACACGGAGAAGACCTAGTTCCCGCTGCTGGCCAGGCCCTTGCTTCTCAGCAGCGGCGATGGGTTCTGCCGAGCCACCCGCACTCGCTGAGCACACACTGACTCCCCAAAGCACGTTCTGCCGACGGACAGGAGTATCGCCTTCAGAATCAAACCGCGCCTTTCCCCACCTCCTCTGCAAACCTACAGCAACGTCTCCAGCGTTCCGGGAAACGCAGCCTGTGGTCAGTCGTGTGAAGTGTCACTCTGTCTCTCAGCGACCTCTCCTTCTGACCAGCCTGGGCGGGCTCAGCACTGGTCAGGTCGGGCAGCAGATGGTGGCGGGAGGCTGTTCCTCCTTGGCGTTGATGAAGGGCCAGGAATGTCTCTAGAGCAAGAATCTAGGGCCCCTTCTCTCCTTTTCCCTTCCCATTCCCACGACCCCTTTATTTATTTGCTTTCTAACAGGGGCCAAGTCTGTCAAGTTTTGTCGAACTGAGCTAGAGTTATTTGTTCCTATTTGTGTTTACCTGAGTTGGGAGATGAGGTAGAGTGTTCACGAGAGTGTGTGTTTCACATGATGTCTGTTATAGGGCCATGTATTGGTAACTTGAAAAAAGACCAGCTAAATGTTTCCTGGTGTATGCCTCTGAGCACATGGGCATCTCTCCACATGTTACATGCAAGTTGTTAGTACCTCATGAGCTATAGCAGGGCAGCCTTGAGAATTTACAGATTTCTATGTAAAACCTTTATTATTTTTTTAGATCTCCTGACACTTAAAACACATTTACATTTCTGTCAGTTATTGTATTTTTGTTTTCCTTATCTGAACCTTCTTTTTTTTATGCATTGTTCCTGGAAGACAAATGATTTTAGTCTTTGGGACATTTTTTCAGTATAAGGGCTACCACACCATCTGTGATATATTGTGGTTTTGTCTAAAATTGGCACATAAAAGAAGTGAAGAAACTAGTTACATCATTCGGTGGAGGTTCTTGGTCCTTAGATGTTTGTTAGGCATCCATTATGTACAAGACACACCAGTAATGATGTTGACAAGTTAAGTATTCTCTGAGACACGGCCAAAATGCAATTTATTATAAATAAATAAACAAATTATTTTTGCTGTTGTAAATATTAATGGTTTACAAAGTGCTTTAATGCATATTTCTTAAAAATTCACCCAGTGAGAAATAAGACACCTTTGAATTTAGTGCTCTGACTGTTTCTAAACTGAGAATACAGAATGTTACTTGGAGAAAGTCTGGGATGGGTGGTGTACACAGCAGGGCTTATGAATGAGTTTCTTAGTTCTTACAATGCACCACGTTTCTCTGTTTTTGTTACTAAAACGTTGTATAATGTATATCCTATGTTTATTACTTCTTCTTCCGTAGCTAATTGGATTATGTATTGCACTGTAAGTTGAAGATTAGCCATTCCTGTGGCAATGCATTTATGTCGTTGGCTAAGGGGGGGCATTTTTTTACGAAGGTGCAAAGTGTTTGAATTTCTGATTTCCTATTCCAGGGATCTTTTTTTGACATTTATTTTCAGTTCATTTTTCCAGTTTCCATGCAAACTGCTCCTTTTTTATGTGCCTTCTCTGTTGTGTCGGTACTTTGATTCTAGTGAGAAGACAGTTGACTTAAACTTGAGAGGGTCATTCAGCATTGCCTGCTGTCTCTACTTCTCAGATCTGGGAGCACGCTGGTTGGGAACCTTACGTCTTTGCTATTTCTCTTCCTCCTCAAGGACATGTATTGCCTTTTATGTTTTTCGGAGAAAAGAGCAAAGAAGAATATCTTTCTTATCCTCATTTTCTTTGAGATGGAAACAAACAAACAAAAATGAAGGACTCCAACTAGAAGATAGACATTTAAACTTAAATATTAGGTTAATGGAGAAAGAGTTTCCAAGTATTAGTTTTTGTTTTTAGAATCAGTTAAGAGACTGCTCCTTGTACTGGAGACACTAGCATGTTTGTAATGTTACCGTAAAGTTACCTTATTATAGACGGCCCATACATAGATTAAATTCTTTTAAAAGGGGCTACTATCATGGATGTTTCACTGCCATTAGCCAGGCTGATGTGTTATCAGTGGCATCCTTATCTACTTATTTTATTGCTTAAATTTTTATTTAAAATGCTTTATTTAGAAAACCAACAATGTTTAGTGTCAGCCTTGCCATGTACCAATTTCACTTGAAATATGACACCAATCACAGAGGGTGAAGGTGGAGAAAGAGGTACTGGAAAGCATACCAGTAAGGATATATTTTTCTATTTGCAACAGTATCCTGTGTGCGGGAGAAGTTACTGTTCAGAGGAAGGCAGCTTACGTGGATAATGTTTTGTATATTATTGAGCATTTTTCTTACACTTTTTAAAATTGTATAATTGTTAAATGCCCAGTTTTGCTCTTAAATCCCCTGTATTTCCCTGAAGTTTTAGTATTCGTTTTCCGGGTGGACTTCTGAAAACCAGTACTTGGGGAGATGAGATGTGTATGTTTCCAGGTTTGGTGT